ATTAAATACTGTTTTTTGGCCCTACACCTAGTCAATGTGGGACTATTTGTCCGTGACATTCTCCTCCACCCAATCACGTCACGCCCTCGTCACGGATCGACTCCACCGAGGGTCCCACTGGACCATGGAGAGTCCACACACCTGGAAGACAATAATCTGCTCTGATACCACTTGTCACCTCCCAAAAGAGCCCTTAAGAGAGGTAGGCAACCCAGAACTTAAATACTGTTTTCCGGCCCTACACTTAGCCGATGTGGGACTATTTGTCCGTGACATCCCACTCATGATGGAGAGGAAAGGGTCATGAAAAGGAATGTTTGCTATGAGCTCACTTGTTATGGATGGCCCACCTGCATGAAAGAAGATCATGAGAGGAGGGTTTGCAAAGAACTCCTGTGTAGTTGGAATGAAAATAAAGCAATTCTTGAATTATGAAGTAATGAGGTGATATGAGGTGATGAATGGGGTTTATTAACATGGTAAAAATAAATTGTTTGTTAAGATTTAATTCGAACCTTGATTAAATTCTAATTAAAAGTTGTCACCAATAGCCCATGTAGTAGATGCAAGTATGGGGTTGGTTGGGTCTTGAAATTCTTATGTGCTAAATGACGTTCATTAGCTTTGTAATGTAGAAGAGCACTTGAGATCATGGTTTTCACATTAAACAAAATTATACGGCGGATTATTGTTGGAGCTTCTATATTATATGTAATTACAAAAGCTATAAAAATACTTATATCAATCATTGTTTCTTCCATCGTACACCTTTCTTTTTCTATACAATCATTTGTCACGCCTTTACAAGTTCTAATATGATTGCTACTCATTAGGGAGTTAAGAACAGTACTCTATTTAAGGGGAAGTGCATGTATAGAATAGAGATTGTTTTATTATAATACAAGTATGCCAACATGATGAATGAATATTAAATTTGTTGTGACATGCATCTTAAAAGAATTCAAAAGAATCAAATTGGTACGTAAATTTACTCAAATTAACTACTAAACAATTTTAGATTGGAATGTCGGCTCATATGTAAAGTCTAATATGCTACAATGAGTTTGTATGGAATGTGTAAATTGAACCTCAAATATCCCCAATTAGGCTAAACCCACATGGTTATTGCAGACTAGCTTTTCTAGGCCAGGCATACATCATTTTTCATAAAGTAAAATTTAAAGGATCATTGAATTTCACAATGATCAAAAGGGTTCATGTCATGATTTTTTTGACAAATTTTACGCTGACTGTCGACTACATAACGCAACCCTCTACTTTTCACATCCAGGCTTAGGACCGGCAATGGCAGTGTAAGACCTAGGAAGACATGGGTTTATTGTATAAAAAATAATCTTAATTTATTAGAACTAAATGAAGGTATGACACTAAATAGGACGCAATGGAGAAAAATGATTCATGTAGCCGACCTCACTTAGTGGGGATTAAGGCTTTGTTGTTGTTGTTGTTGTTGTTGTATTGAATTTCTTGAACAAGCATTGCTCTGGAGGATTATGAACTCCCAATGTGTGCTTGTAATTGTGTATTCAATTATGAGATATTTGGCCTTCTCAAGCCTATCCAAAATGTTATAGGAGTGGATGTCTCTATGTAAATTACTCTTCCAATTATAGGATTTATTCTATGTAAAAATGGTGGGATATTGTCACCCTTTTATAGTGACCTCAATTAAGAAACATCAAATTTTTCTTATAACTATTCCCATAAATCCAAACATTAAAATGTTGAATATGCCATTAATTCCCTTATGAGATCATGATCTATGAAATGCTATTTTTATATGGAACACACCTTTAACTTCTTAGTTTGGCCTGTATTCAAGTTCCATCCTTGCTATAGCCCAAGTCAATATCATATGATATCAATTTAATAATGAAAGAGTGAAATCTCTACTATCTATTATTGATAATTATAAAGATTATTTTGAATAAAGATTTGAATGCTCTTTATAAAAATTATAAATTGTCCCTTATTCAGTTCATATAAGCAATCTGGTTCTTCTAAAAAAATTTTAAGTGCAGCCTTTCACGGTAAGACCTATGTTATGACCCTAACGCATAGTCTTTGATATGCCCACATTGTAGCAGGGTTTTTGATGCATCAAAGCCTATTTCCTAGCTCTAGGATGCAACAATACCTACCTGCAATCCTCACGGACGTATGTTGCAACCATTGTTGCTATAAGACATATAGTCATACGCGATATCAACCTAGTCATATGCGCTATAGCAAGACTTGCATCGACGCCTTGCTTCATAGAAAGGCCTACACTACAAACCCCCACACAATGGAACTAGATTATAATCTTGTGCCATAGTAAAACTTTCATAAAACCTTCAAATTCAAAACCCGTGTCAGAACTTTTGCCCATAAGATTTACTCCATTTTCATACCTTAAGTTCCTTCATTGCATGCCTTTCACACTTTTTTATAATTGCTCATGACACTCACGCAAGCGAGTAATGTTTTTGGCTAAAACTTTGAAAGCACTATTCTATTTAAGAAGAAGACATGTTTGAGATTGATTTTTTATTATGATGCAACCATGCTAGGATGTAAGGATGACACACACAACGTAATATACTTATAAGTTGAATTATATGAGTAGCCTCTTATTAGTTTTTTGAGGCATTGGGATTATACAATTGCTTATATAATTCCACACAAATGTAATAAAATTTATTTGTATTAGCCAAATTAAGTCGAAGCAAGCTTAAATTTGCATTAGAACTCAAGTATGAGGTCAAATATATTACAATGAGTTCAAAGACACCTAGATTACGCAAATTAGAGTTCAAACAACCAAAAATTGGTCAAACAATTGGTCGAACTGCTCGATGTATGGTACATCAGCCTTATCCAAACAACCTATAGAAGTTGCATGTTAAGTAATGAGACTTCCATTGTAGAGAGTAATAATAAGAACCACCAACTCATCTCCTTCGTTATGATTGTGATCAATATTGAGATTAAATGCTCTTCTTTGAGTGAGTTTATTCATATAAAAATGTTTAGAATTATCACTATTTTTGCACATTGTGATTAAAGGCCGTGAACATTTTTTTAAATTATTCTCTAAAATCAACCATTGTAATTTTGATCTAATGAACTCCTTAGCGAGGTTGGTTGGTTCACTTATAATGGGTGGTCGATGTTTGACCTAAAATTAGGCAAATAAATCTAATCAGGCATAATTATTAATACAATTAGGTCCTTTATAGTTGATTTAAACTTGTTTAAGTAGTATTGAAGGTTAGGTGTTCTTCATGAAAGTTTGAGTGGATCAAAACTAATTATTGAGTCAAGTTTAACTTATTTATCCGTTCCCACCAATATGACTTCAACGCAAGATTCCAAGCAACCCTCAAAAGGTGATTTCTTTATGCTAATCTTTGAATTCTTTTGTTGTAAGCAAATTAAATATTGTTTTTTATCAACTTTAATCTTCACGTATTTGATATTATATACTCAGGACATCTCCATCATCCTTTTATTTAGTACATACGTATAATCATTTGTTTGTGAGCGGAATTGTGTGCTTCTCTTCAATTGTCATCCATAAGAGATGATTTATATAGATATTCTTATTTGCTTCTAAATATTTTTAATAATAGTTTTATATCTTGTTCTCTTTTGATGCTTTCTTGAAATGAATTAAGCTGTTCATCTTGATAAATTCATTAATTTTAATAAAAAATAGATGATGAAAAACTCTTTTGGCTTTAGATAACCCTTCAAAAAGACTATGGAAATCTTTAACAAGGCCTTAGCATTGGAAGTGGCAATGTGTATGCCCTTATATTTTTTGCTGATACAACTTTTATGTGTTGTATTGTAGCATTGAGAATTTTTGACTCCTTAATGAACCTTTTAACCTCAAACTGCATTTTATGCAGTATATTTGCCTTTCTGAGCAAGTAATTCCTTTCAGTATTCATCTAAATCTAGAGAACTATATATTTTAGGCTTGAGTTAGTATGTTTGGTCATGAAATATTATTTTGAAAAAATAAAACATTTAGAATTACTTAATTTTATGAGAACTTAAGGTTGGTTTATAAGTCAAATATTTGAAAAAAAATAATGCCAAAAGTATTTTAAAAAATTAAATTTAAGAGATATTTTATGCATACTTTTAAGAAGGATTAGTGTGAACAATCGAACGAGAATTCTCAATTCTCATCTTTACAAACTTAACAAGATATATATAAACTTTAATTTAAAAGAAAAAAAAAGTATCACATGATATTGATAGTAGATTAATAAATTATTCAATTATTGAACTTCATAAACAGTGCAAGTGAAAGGAATGAATTAAAGATAAAAGTAAATCAAGTCATAATTCAAAATACAAAAAAATTAAAAATAGATGCAAATCAAACATTCACTCATCATTATCATTATATTCATATTCCCTTTCTGCAATTCTTTATCCATTCATATCTTATTTATCTGAATCTATGAAAGAACCTTCAGATTCATGCTCTTCTTCATCTAATCAACAATCTCATAATTTGATGGTTTTGCCTCAGTAATCTGAGTTTATTTAAAAGTTCTTTAAAGTAATTTACCAACATAACTGGAGCATAGCCAAGTTATATCATAATTAAGCAATTTATTTGTTGAAAGACACTTCATTTATGCTCATATCCATAAACAGCTCTCTTTATCACATACTTATTTAAATGAGTGGTTGAGAGTACATATAGCATCAAACATTGTATAATTATTACAATGTAATATTTAGCTTTTCTGAAAGTCTCTTTTGAAGGAGTTGGTAGAGAGTTTTCTCCAATTAGGAAATTCAAGTTCCACACATTTTAATCACTAATTTCTAACATAGTTGCACTAAAGCTTAATTTCACAACCAAAAAATAAATAAATAGAGCAATTTGAATTCTTTGATTGTGTTTTTTTTTTTATATTTTTATTTTTAAAAATTTGTTTTTTTTCCTCATTTTTTTTAGTTGTTTTTTTCAGATTTTGAAAAACACAACCGTGAATAGAAAGGGGTCCACCAGTTCTTCGATTGGAGAAAGCCTTTCATGATCGATGGGAAAGTTTGTGGGCAGAAGCCAACATTTAATTTAATTTTTTTTTTTTTAAATTGCTCTCGTGTTTCGCTTAGATCACAAACTTCACCTTCTTTTGTGGATGTAATTAGAAGCAATAAAGATGCTTACAAGAATATTATGCTTTTGCACGTCTATATGGGGAAATGTTAGAAGTAGATATTAAAAATGGTTATCAAGTTCATTTAACTAAAATTTAAGTAATTTGTACATTGATTAACTCTTTTATAACGGTTAGCTTTAATTTGATGAATCATACTGTGCATTTGGCGAGTTAGCATGCATTTTAAAAAAAAAAATGCAAAGCGTCGAGGATAATAAACTGTAGCTGAGTGTTATTTGCTTGAAGGACTTGTGTTCGGATGGGGCAGATAATTGAAGGGCTTAGTGAAATGAAGAATATAGCAAGAAAGAAATTCAAAAGAAACTAAACTCAAAATCCCTGTGAAAAGTGTATCATCCATATAGACTAAGATATATGCAGATTTATTAGTTGAAATCCGTTACTTGTTGGATGGGTTAAGAATGTTGAATACTATTGTCTCGTCTCGGTGCATGTTTTAATCCATAAATGGCTTTTTAAAGGGGCATAAATAATTTGAGTTTTGAGCATCCTTTGGTTGAGTAATGTATAGTGTCATTAACACCACCATAAAGAAACAGATTGGATGCATCCAATTGAAGCACTGGCCACTTGTGATTGAAGGGAAAGGTTAAGAGAATTCGTATGGTAGGTAGCTTGGCTACCATACTGAATATTTCTTTGTAATTAATTCCTTTTTTCTCGATTAAAGCCTAGTGTTGCAAGCCTTGCTTTTTTATCTAGCTATTGAGCAAAGGGAGTTGAGGTTGTTCAGCAGTTGCGGTGAGTAGCAGTTGGGGAGTGTTGTTTGAGGGATTTGATTTAGCTGACTAGTGAAGAGAATAAGGGAAATAATTTTCATTGAAAGTTGCACATCATGAGATGATTATTTTGTCTATTTGAGGGTTATAGCTGCAGTATACTTCATGAGAAGTGTAGTTGCCGGAGAATATAAAGGGGTCTTTATCAGGGAAGTAGAAGCATCCAAATATGCGTAAGTGGTTGTATATGGGTGTATATTATATAGAAACTCATATGAGATTTCATATGTATTGTTCTGTGGGCATTTGATTGATGAGATAGGCAGGTGTGAGAAATGCATCAGCCTAAAAAGATGGGGAGATGAGCTGCAAGCGAGAGAGATCTGGTTGTTTCAATAAGGTGTCATTGTTTATGTTTGGCAACCCATTTTGTTGTGCATGGACAACTAATTTAATGAAGAATTCTATTAGATGAGAGATATTTTTAAAGGGAATTTGAAGTGTATTCCGCATAACCACCACCCTTCCACCTTCATTAGAGAGAGGTATTTTGATGTTAAAGTTGAATTGGTTTTGAGCCATTTTATGAAATTATATGAATTTAGAGGTTGTATTGGAAAAGACCAACACTAGGAGGAATGACAATCTATATATGATAAAATAGTATTTGTATCCTTTTAGAGTAGTCATAGTAGTGCCTCAATACATTATGGGGAACAATAGTAAAGAGTTCTTTAAACCTAGAGAGAGATTTGGAAAAATGTTATTTGTAACTCTCAAAAGAGTTGCATTTATTACTGGGAGATTTGTTCTTCTTAAAGATAGCAGTTGCAACTTCATTAGATGGAGATTTGTGACTGTGAATGTTGGAGAGAGCATTTTGACCAGGTCCCTCAATAATGATTTTATTTATATTTAGAACCTTAATAACAAAACTAACCTCATTAAAAAATATGCCACGCTTATTTTGAGTAGTAAATTGATGAATTGACATGAGGTTGTGTGATAGTTTAGAAGCATGAAGAAGACGAGGAAGAATAAGCTTAGGTTGGGGAGTAGGGAGCGGTCCCTCTGTAGTGTGTGATGTGAATTATTGAATCATATTCCACTAACACTTGTTAATCACCTTGATAAGAAAATCAATTCAACTTAAGAAAAAAATAGAAGTTGTTTGAGTACATTAGTATATTCTAGAGCAAGTTGCACCCTTCCTTTCCCCCTCCTTTCTCTTCCTTTCTGCTCCTTATTTTGGACTTGCATTTTCTTCTTCCTACGCATCATTTTATAGAATAAAGTGATCTCTAAGTTCCCGACCGTTGGATTCTTCTCCCTCCTTTAATTGCCCAGCTCCTCACTTCTCCTTTTTGTTCATTTCCTCTCCTTCTCTCTTCTCCTCCTCTTCTTCGGTTCTTCGTTTCTTCATTTCATCTCCCCCAATTTTAAACAGACCCACAATATTATTCTAAAGCAAATAGCTTTTATATACTAATTTTTGCCAAGCAAATGCATGTTTGATTTATCAATTGCACCATCCTAAAATGTTCTAACCTTAATGTTGAAGGGTTAGTTCGATTTGATGCTACTCAAATAATATTATTTTGAATATTAGATTATATTTATGTAATTGGTTTATACATGTAATGCAATATGTTTAATTTAATGTCTTAAATTATAAAATGATATTAAATATATTGATTTTTAATTTTTAATTTTACACTCAAAATTAAATTTAAATACATTAAATAATTTAAAAGTATTCATTATGGCAGTAATTATGGTAGAACTTCAGTAATTTCTTCAGAATATTGTAAAATATATGCTAAGCAAAGATGTTCTAATTAATTACTAAAACAACATAAATAAATGAAAGATTGGGCTGGGCAACAGTTTACATTCTAACAAAAAAAAAAACATAGATTGAGAATTTCTATGAGTTTATTAGAATACTAGATACTAATAGATTAATTGTATTGACAAGGCTCGCCTCTTTGACTCTCTATTTATAGGTTCCGAGACAAGGCTCAATACTACAAAAAAAGGTTGCATTTAAATTAAACAAGTAACATTACATAGTAGAACTTAACAAATGCGCCTTGCAAGTTCAATAAATTAGCTAGCATATAAATTTTTTGATAACATAATGTACTATATATATACATGCATACATATGAGCACGAATTTCGAGATAATCCGACAATCCAAGAAACAATGACATGTCAAAGCTAGACCCGCCGGAAAACAACCCAGGGACCCATGAAAACCGACCGGCTCGCACTCGCCAGAGTTCATTCGAACCAACCGAACAACACATGCACAGTGACTTCCTCTGCTTAATGGAACAAGTATACTCAACTGGCAATAATCCTCTTGACAAGAATTGAAGAATGACGATCAACCCGACTCATTCTCCGGACTAATATCCCAGTCCTCGCCGACAATATTCAAAAACCCAATCAGTCGCCAAAACGCAAATGACTAACCAACCGACGGTCCCCCATCTAGAAGGTCAATCGATAGCACTGATCAATTCACCTCTTCAGCCCCAGGCATCCGAACTAGAGAACGTCGAGACCCTGGACCTACAGTGGTATAATTACTAGAATAACCTGTCCAACCCCTCTTTCAGTGGGGTTATAAATGCAATTCCCTTCATTGCTTTCCATCTCCTATAAATAGAGGGGGTTTTTCGTGTAAAATGACTTTTTTTGTCTCTCCCTTCTCTCTTGTATATTATTACAAGAAGGGACTTTAGGCTTTTCGCCTTGTCCATATATTAAAAATATTTGATTATATAAAAAGGATCATAAGAGCCTAGGAATATTCCATTTTGCCCCAGAGGGGCGAGTCTGTGTGCACTCCTCTCTCTCTCTCTCTCTCTCTCTCTCTCTCTCTCTCTCTCTCTCTCTCTCTCTCTCTCTCTCTCTCTCTCTCTCTCTCTCTCTCTCTCTCTCTCTCTCTCTCTCTCTCTCTCTCTCTCTCTCTCTCTCTCTCTCTCTCTCTCTCTTCATTTCTCTTGGTTCAAATGCTCAAATCCCTTTGGTGTGCCTCCTAAACAAATTCAAATTCAACATGCTGAAAGATGCGATGAGCGTGGAGCATACGACTAACAAAAAAAAGAGCAATACAAGTAGGAGAAACCCACTACAGGACACTCCTAACACGGAATACATTAAGGATCTTACACAACAGCAAGTCCAGGAGCTGAAAAATCACATTTACGTCGTCTTTCGAAGAGGCTTTGGCTCGAAGGCGAGAAGTACATCAAAACATACAACCGGCTCAGTTGGTAAACCCCCTGCAAAAACCCAACCAATGACATCTCGACAATGCTCAGCAGACGGGTGTCAAAAAAGACAGAACCAAGCGCGAAAAGTGTTATCAACCCCAATTTGTTGAGGGTCGACCGAAGGAACCTGAGCCGAGGCACAACCCGCTCCACATGACACTAACAGAGGAATTAGATGCAATGCCTCAACCGACACCTGGCATCGCCATGAAAAGGCATTATCATTTCAAACATTCTATATTTGTTCCGCTATAAAATTACATAACTTTTTATAACATGCTCCTAGGTTAAATCGAGACATGGGGAACTCAAAGAGTTCATGTGCTTCAGCAAATAGGCAACACCGAGAAACTTGAATCCAAGTAGCCAAACTGACAACAATGCCAAAGACATTTGGTCGGCAAAATAAATAAATAACGACCCACAAGGCACATGCATTGTAAACTTTGGTCTCCAAACTTGAATCAAATAAAGCTCTGGAGGTGATTCTCTGCCCAATAGCGATAAGCTCCACGAAGGATACGGTGCAAATCACACCAAAAGTGAGTCTAAGCGGTTACCCCCACAAAAGCAACGACAATATTCACTTAATAAACCTAGCACAAGGGCTAACCCGTCCAAGGATGAAATACGACCAAGCAACTGAGACTTGAAAAGTGTAAGATACGAGCTAGGCATCAATAGCAAAAACCAATGGCCCAAAAAGTTGTTCGATCGATAAATTTATAAAAATCAGACATACGCGCAAGCCCAAAAAGTTGTTCGATCGATAAATTTATAAAAAATCAGACATACGCGACGTCTGATCAGTATAACTTTGAAGCTTGACTGGCAGCGAAAACTAACGCTTGACTGGCAAGCCGCATAAGACTAAAAAATCCAAGCATCAAAAAGCCCATGTCTCTAAACTCGATATGGATAAAGCTCTGGAGGTGGTTTCCTTCCCAATAGCAACAAGCTTCGCGAAAGATACGACAAAAATCACCTAAGCAGTGAGTCTCATTGATTACCCCTGCAAAAGCAACAACAAGACCTGCTTAGGAACTAGCAAAACATATGACCTAATTGAGGTGATGATCCGACCAAGCAAATGAGACACAGACGATATAAGACTTGTCTTGAATGGTTATCAGAAATCAAAATCAATAAACAAAACTACTCAAAACCAATTCTTTTACCACGCACACCATCGCCAACAATCAAGCAGTAAAATAAAATGTGGTAAAGGTAAGTGACAGATATAAAGAAAAAGTTTCCATTATCAAAAATTTATACAAGTGTTTCTACATAACTACACAATTTGATCGACTATAGCCAAGCAAAACAAAATTTTCTTCCTAATGTACAGGTGAAAAATAAAAGAGAGATCTAAGAAGTAATTGATCTGACGTAGTTGTCGCGTCCTTCTCAGGTCGCTCTTGCAAATTTGTCATTGTCTTCCTCAGGGAATGAAAGACAGGTGGAGAACAACCCCATGTCAACCTGCTTGGGTCAACCAAGCCATCCTTGATGAAGCGATCGACATGAAAAGTGATGCCCGTCTGAAGTTGTTGAAAGAGCCCCTTGAAATGCTCATTGGTAGGCACCATCTTCGTCATTGTCGCTTTAAGCTCAGCATTTTTTTTCCAAGGCAGCGACAATTTCCTCATATTTACTTGTCTCACTCATCCAGCTCTCGATGGAGAACTTCAGCCTTTTCTCCATCAAGATTGCCCTTTGCTCTGCTTCCCTCTTCCGAGTGACAGCCTCGACCATCCTTCGCTCAGTAGTCACCTTCTTCTCCTCCATTTGGCGGAAAGCCTTAGCCTGATAGTGGGTCGATGACCATGCCATCAAGTGGAACCAGTCACTATGTTGATTGAAATCCACGCCACCTATACCTCTTAGCATCTGCTTGAAGGAATCAAAACCAACCACCATCCGCCAAGATACAAGGATAGTTCATTGCCGCGGGCACCTCCATGTACCAATCCATCTCGATATCTACCATGGTGAAATGGCCGTTAGAGCTCGACCAAATCTTGGTATCCTCATCGATGGAAGGAACCCATCTCAGAGGAGAACTTTCGTTGGACTGAGGAGGAGGTGGAGAGACATCCTCGGCAGGAGCCTTTTCCTCCAGGTGCGAAGTTTCTTCCATTTAGTGATCAAACTGCTCGTCATCAGCCTTAGTGTTATAATTTGATAGAAAAATAGACGACGCTTACTGAGCTGATGTCGATGAAGGAAACACTAAGCGACTTGGCCACCTTAACCCTGGTCGGAGAAGCCATATCCGCTTCCTCTCTGCTCATATAGAAGAAGCTCAATCTTAGGAGAATCCATCCAGTGAACTTCTGAAGTCCTAGCACTTGACAAGAAAACCCTCTGTTTGGTTCACAAGAACTCTCTAAAATATGCAAAAATGATTAAGAAATCCTCGAAGTCAAAAAGAACCAAGCCCCGTATCTTTTTTATCGGAGCTCACCCGAAGTACTAATTGCCTCCAGGTTGATGGCCTACACCCCCAGCTTCTTTCAAGCCACTTTTGTCGCAGTCTTCTCCTTTCGCCCTTTCGCTTCGCCTCCTGGGCATCGTAGGCCTCCCATAGCGCATTGCTCATGACCCCAAACTCCTCCAACCATAGAACCATGTTCAAGATGTCGGAGTCCATGTACCGATGCACCGACAGCTCTTGTCTCTCAAACATACCCTCGTACTCTCTTAGAGGTCTCAAAAGGGCCTTAATCTTTTTAGGGGCGCTCACAATGGGTCAGACTCCTATCCCCCCAGCCTCATTGGCATGAACCAACCAGAAACTTCAGTTTCCAACCCTTGATTTTATTCTCAAGCCTCACAAGTTGAATTTTGGGACCCACCAAGAAAACTGCATAGCCGTCCCGGACAACTTTGAAGTTGTAGAAATAAGACAAGAGATCAGTCAGCCATGGAATAACCAGCAACCGGAGAAAGACAATGAATGTCATGATAACAACAACTGAGTTCGACATCACTTAGGCAGGAATGACGTTGTAGCGTGTGAGGATAGCTCGAAGCTCTCGGCATAAAGACAACATCAATCTACACTTAAATTAGTCCCTGTAGAAGACCAAGTCCTTGTCATAAATACCAGTCGCCCCATCACTACTTTTCACCGCCCTCAAATCTACTCACTACCCATAAACACGTGACTCTTGAAGGTATCTCACCTGGCGCGTCGTCATAATCGAAACTTCCTCAAACGAAATGGTATCGAAGAGCTCTTGTGAATATTTAGGAGCCATGAAAATGAGAGGAAAAAAGAAACAACCGAAAAAAGAAATCGACAGAGTGAACTCAAGAAAAACAAAACATCCACACGAGAACTTCCTGAACGCAAGGCAAAGATGTCATTACCGCCTGAAACTGCAAAAAGGGAGTCAAATCAAACACACAAATTGAAATAGAAAATTTTAAACTTTTATTTCATAAATAAAAAATATTTTACATTCGCCACTCAGCTGATATTCACAAAAATATTTTACAAAATTATCAGCAACCGCTTTAACCGAGACAAACCTTTACTGAAGCTGTCACTTGTACAAAATTTCGCCCCCGTAGTCTACACCTATCTACTCTATTTATTTTAGTTTGTGCCCGGATGGCCAACAGCTCCGCTCGAAGAACTGCAACCTCTTCGCAGAGGGCGGCCTCCCGAACACAAATGGCGGCCACCTCTTCCTTCGGCTTTTCCAGCATATTAACTTGCTCAACCAGCAGGTGCATCTCTCTGACCTAAGGAAATTTGGCCGCCTAGATGAGTGAATCTTCTATCTCATACGGACGGCGCTCTTTTGAGCTGGAATATTATGGCCTTCCAGCAACCTTCGTTGGGGCCTCCCCTAAAAGACTCGAACGACTGCTCCTAGCATCAGCTTAGCAAGGAGCAGGCTTGGCAGACCCTAAGTACCTAATCAACAATAACCTCACCCAAAGGGGAGCCGACAGACACTACTCCGGTGATCGTGTCGTCTACATCAAAAAATAATATAAAATAAGATTCAGAAAAAGAAAATTCACACAACAAACTCTTCATACCCATGATTTGTTCCCACCGCAAAGTGGTGAAAGAGAACCCTTCCTCACCAATCTTTTGTCTCGCGACTGGAGAAGGAAGGTCGGCGACACCGGTGCACTCGACGCTGAGGCATCAACAACCTCTCGCACGATTCCCCCAGCAGCAACTTTTGGTGCCCCTGGCGACACCAAAGCACAAGCAGCTTCTTGCTCTGCTACCCCAGATGGTGGTGATGGAGTCTAAACAGGAGTAGACGGACTGACTCATCATTCATTCGAGCGGCAACTCTCTTCCACACAAGACGCTTCTCTCAAACGACCTTTCTCCGCATGGACCACCTCTCTTGGGTGGTTTTTCTCAGCCTGCACCTCATCGGGTGACCAAATAACGAGTCTGACTATCCCACCTGATCCTTCAGATCGGATCTCTTCCGCTTCTTCGCCAACACTTTCTGCCTCCACCTTCTGGGTGGGATTTACTCTCCCGCCTCATATCCCTGAAAGTCTTTCAATAGGTTGTTTTGGTGTGCTTGTCAGCCTTGGAGAACAACTGATTCACCATGTTGATGATCAAAGTTTATAAAGATCAAGCAAAGAAAATCAGAGGAAGATGGGAAAAATGCGCCCCTTACTACATATTTATAGGAATCACAGGCATAAAATTTAAGGATAGTTCAATTATTGCATTATTAATTAATCAAAAACATTGCTTGATTTTTTCATTAATTCTCTTATTCTTATCACAATTGTCCCTTTCAAGAAGTGCATAAAAAGGTGTCAACACAAATCTTGAGGCAATCTGACATCCCAAGAAAGAATGGCAAAGCTGGACCCATCAGAAAGCAACCTAAGCCCATCAGAAAGCAACCTAAGAACCCAAGAAAACTGATTAGCTTATGCTAGCCAGAGTTCATTCAAGGCGACCCAATGATACATGTATAGATGACATCCTATGTTTTGAGAGTATGAGTCTACTCAGCCGACAAGAATCCTTCCGACGAGAATTGAAGGCTAAAGAACGACCTGAATCATCCTCCCAGCTAATATCAGTCGTCGGATCAATCTCACTTATTGTCTTCAAAAATCCAATCAATCGCTTAGAGTCGAAGTATCGACCAACCGATGGTCCCCCATCCAAAAGGCCAACCAGCAGCATTGATCGATTCAGCTCTTCAGTCCCAGTCAACCAAGCCAGAGAATGCTGAAACCCTAAGCCCACAAGGATATAATTACTAGAATAACATGCCCAACTCCCCTTTAAGCAGGTTTATATATATAATTTCCTGTCACTGCTTTCCTTCTACTATAAATAGATTGGTATTTTCTTGTAATAGAATTTTTGTTGGCCTCTCCCTTCTTTCATATATCTTCTTACAAGAAAGGACTTTAGGCACTTCTTCCTTTTTGTGTATCAAAAATATTCGATTATATGAAAAGAGTCACAAGAGCCCGGGAATACCCCATTTTGCCCCAAAGCAACAAGTCATTGTGCACTCCCTTCCTCCCTTCTTTTCTCTTGGTTCAAACACTCAAATCCTTTAGATGTGCCTCCCAGAAAAATTTTGATTCAACACAATTAATTCATGATGAAGTAGAAGTATGAAACTAGTTCGAGTAAAGTCATTGTGACTTCACTTAGAATTGAAGAGTTTATTGAAGTTTATAACTGTGCCATTGGTTGGCAAATAGCTTGTTTTGTGGGAATTATTTTGGTGATTTTAATGCTTATAACTAACCTTTAGGCCAACTATGCTAGTTGAACGGCAAATATAAACAGTTAGTTATTGCAACACTCTATAGCAATTAAACCATTTTTTTTTAAGGCCCTTCAGTTATTTCCTAGAGAATGGAGAACAATTTGAATGATCCTATATGATAATATCTTAAAATAGGAAAAGAAAAGGATGCAAAAGAACCGCCATTGATATTTTAAACACCAAAAAGCAATTGCTAAGCAATTTAGCTTCATAGGTCACAAACCTTGATCATAGACACCTGGCTTTGGGCATCCTACTGGAAGAGGCAAATCCAGATTCTCAACTCTCCTGAATGTCCTCGGAACAATCTTATCCACATATATAGTCCCTTCTAGATGATCAAACTCATGCTGTAATATGCGTGCCATCCATCCGGATGAAGCAATTTTAATAGGTTGGCCAAAACGACTATGGCCCGTGACCTCGACCTGTAGATGCCGCTCAACCAGGGCTCGATATCCATCAACGCTGCAAGAAAAATGGCTTAAGATGTAATTTTTTATTTTTATTTTGTTTTAAATTGAAACATTTTTGGGTGCTTAAGATGTAATTTTTTATTTTTATTTTGTTTTATCTGTCATTTTGTTTTAAATTGAAACATTTTTGGGCGAGAAAATTATTTTTAAAAACACTTAAAATATCTTTTAAATGTTTTGAATATTTTTAAAAATAGATTGATTGTTTTTAAAAATAAAAAGTAAAAGTATGTAAAAATTATATCAAACAAACATATTTTAAAAAATTAAAAGGAAAATAATAAATAAAAACAGGAAACAAAAGTGCCGTCAAAATGGGAGTCAAATATTTGGCAGTCGCAACACTACTTATGGCTCTTTCCAAGATGCTCCCAATCGCTACATAGCTCATGGAGCACAAATCATCTCCCAATTGATGCAAACACAAAGTCTATAAACACTTTTTCATACCTCAAACACCCTTCAAAGAACAAAGCAGTCTTGCTTCCCTTCTTCTCAAGCTTTGGATTAACTATTACCTGTCTTGGAATAACAAGAATAGTTAAGGCATAAATGCCCGAAGAGAGAAGGAATCTGCTTCAAATAAACTTTTAAAAGTGAGTACCAGCAGATCAAAAGGACGACGTTCTTGTGCATCAGTTTCATTCTTAGGAGCATAACTAATGTATTCTTTTGTGTCTTCAAGAACAATAATCTGCCATGAAAATTGCAAGAAAATAATCACATGACTAGTAGACTTTAAATTAAAGTGGAAGCAAAAATGTTTGATAGCATGACGAGTAAACAGGACAACGGACCAAAAATACAGTCAGTAGTTGTCACCCCAAAAAAAAATGCCAACTTTGAGTGGTAAGGGATAAAAATGTAAACCACGTAGCGCAGGGTTCATTTGGGATTTTCTTTTTATTTACATACTGATTTAAAATAAAACATGTATGGCAATTTAAACTAAAATATTTTGCTTTTATTTAAGATGGCGGCGTGCCGATGGTCAGTGGAGGTGGTGGTCACCGGAAGCAGCAAGCGGTGATCGGTGGCTGCCAACTGGAGATGGCGGGTGACAACAGGCAATGCCAGACAAAGATGGAGATAGACTGCAAGCAGGGGCTAAAAATAGGGTGATTATTTTTAAAAACTTTCAAAACACCTAAAAATTGTTTTAAGTATTTTTAAAAATAAGCTGATTTGTTTCCAAAAAAAAAAACACCAAATAAATATATTTTTAAAAACTAAAGAGAAAACAAAAACAAACATAATCTCAAACAAGCCCTTAGTGAGACAATGAATTTAAAAGTCTAACTCTAGCAATTATTTCAAATTTACAATACCCACAAAAAGAGCTTAGCTGTACTACTTGGAAGATGTTATAATGACTCATGTCATCCATTCATGGATAATCAAGATTAATTTTCTTAGCGTATTTGCAATTTAGATTAATTAGAAATTGGTAATTTTTTTAAGTTATTAATTTCATCAGAATTATCATATGACGAGCTCATAGGAATGGTTTGACATTCAGTTGTCAGTCTATTTTGATAAATAACCAATTATCATGAGATAGAATGAAAATATATCTGTGGCCCATATCTTGACTTCCTACTTTTCTTTTATGCCTCGAAAAATTAGCACAAAGTACTTTGAAGATCTATTTAGATGTTTTGAGGAACAACTTGAGAATTTGCTGTTTGTTCTCCTTTTCTTTCTTATCTTTCCATTTCATATTCAATCAATAATTCTATTGCCTACACTACATCAATTCAATGTCATAACAAAGATCCAGTCATTTTCGCCCTATATTTAAGAAACTTCTTAAGTTCTAGAGAAAATTAGTTTACAAATTATTTCCTTCCTGCATTTTTTCCTCCACTCGAGCCCTCCTTCCAAAAATCCTTTCCAACAAGGTAAAACTTGGGAAATGCTCAAATTTGATGTGCATTATTCTCTATTATGAATTTTAAAAAAAAAACATTATTTCCTATACTTCAATCGCTCCTCAACTTATACTTGTCCCCATCTCGTTAACTGTACTAAATAAATTCATAGATCTGAATTTAAACTTAAAATTTAGATTTAATTCAAATCTTCAAACTATTTTGCCGAAATTCCACTACGAAATTAGTTAGCCCAACCCAATTCAATCCTACTCCATTTGATTCTCCTCCTAACCAAGCTTTATCAACAACCATAAATTGAAGTTCTAAATAATCTAAGAAATGATCCGCACAAGCAAAGCAAAGTAAATCCCTTCTCCCTCCCTTCAGCAATAGAGGGATTCTCTTATAAAATAAATAAATACCAAAAAAAAAAGACAAAAGAGATATTTTTTATGTCAAATTTGCTAATATTTCTCAGTAGATTGCCTACAATTCGGCCTACAGGTACTGCATTAAGATTTGAATTCCATAGTCTTGATTGGGTAAAGTAGCATTGCTACTGTATGTTGATAAGTTTTCTATTATTAATAGGTAAGTTGAACGTCACCCAATGTTTAAAAAGATGAAATCAGAAAATGGAGTATTTCGCCTAAGCAAAGCAAGGCTTAAGCGTTGAAATATAAAAATTAAAAACTCATAAAACAACAACAACAAAGTCTTAATCTCACTACGTGGGGTCGGCTATGGGTCGGCTACATGAATCCTTTTTCTCCATTGCGTCCTATTTAGTGTCATATTTTCATTTAGTTCTAGTAAATTAAGATCATTTTTAATACAATAAGCCCAAGTCTTCCTAGGTCTACCTCTGCCTTTCTTAACACAAGTCGAATTTAAAGCATCTACTCTCCTAATCGGATCATCTAATGGTCGACGTTTAATATGACCAAACCATCTAAGACGACTTTCTCTAATTTTGTCTGTCACAGGAGCTACACCAACCCTATCACGAATATATTCATTCCGCATTTTGTCTCTAAGTGTAAAGCCACTCATCCACCTAATCATTCTCATCTCGGCAACACTTAACTTATTATTATGCTTCTCTTTTAAAGGCCAACATTCAGCGCCATAGAGCATTGCAGGTCTCACCACCGTCTTATAAAATTTTCCTTTTAGTCCAAGCGGTACTTTTTTAGTAAAATTTTCCTTTCAGTCCAAGCGGTACTTTTTTAGCACACAC